TTCAAAACAGCTGATATTCTTTTTTAATACAGACAAAATTGACGGGAAGACTATAGTTAACGATTTGCATCTATTGTTCAATGTTATGACCATAGCCTGTCTTTGCATACAACTTGAATCGTTTTCTTTATTAGTAAATTCGTTACAAAAATCAACGATAGAAAAAAAATGAACATGTTTTACAAACTATCATCGCATCCGAACCATTTACATTGTAACCATCTGAGGAAATCTAAATCAAGTGGGACTTGCTGTTTGATCCATACAGCTCGTTGTTGACTATCATGATCGCCAATCATTTCTCCTGTATTAGGATGAAACAAAACTTCGAATTCACCATGATTTGCCGACATCCACAACATTGTATCCATCAATTGATCATTGGGTAAATAAACACCCCACTGTCCGTATGGATGTGGTCCATCGACACCCATCACCGGATCCCAGACGCACATTACTGTACAATTATCAAATATTCCACCCATGAAGCAATTACCTTCACATGTTTTTATGTGGAAAAAATTCATAAATTGTTGTCGGATATCTAAGGCACGTTCAGTAACATTCTTATTTTCATGGAAGAAATAACTATGAATATGCCACGAATAGTAGTATAATGGTTCGCTTGCTGATGGAAGTCGACGTAATTGTGGATGAAAATCGTTATTCGACTGTCCGGGCAGAGGCGGAAAGAACAAGTCAGGATTGATAGCTGCTGAGTCGCTGGTTTTGATCGATTTGACTGAACGAGTATTGATTAAATTCTGGCGACCATTACCGATCGTTGATCGACCTTTGGCACGAATGTATTCATCTCGAAGAAAGCTGTGACAGTGTGCCATGGTTAACATTACCAGTATTAAGACCACGTAGCGAAACATTGTTTCAGCAAAGGAAATCGGCTAAAAAGTCACATATAAGTTAAGAACTTCTCATAATGAAAAATGAAAAGATATTAATGATTTTGCCTATATAATTGAGTTCGACAGTGACTTACACCGAGTGATAAGGAACATGAGCTTAAATAAAACGAAGCAGACTAATCACAACAAAGACAACTAGGAGAGTTACAATATTAGTCACCAGCGAGACATTTAACAATATCGTTGCATTTCTTCCAAGAAACTCTCAAAGAACTTCATTCTGACAGGGTGCACAACTGCACATTTTCACTCAACAATCTCGAAGCATTGTTTATAACATTAAGGTTTGATCAAAGCAGTTTTATTGTTAGTAAAACAAGCCTTCAGTTCTTATTACCTGTTGTTGAGTATATGAATAGTCGAGTTTGTTTAATTGGGCTAAAGAGTCACAACAATATGATGCATACAGATTTGCTGATATATATATAAGATCCCATTGTCACTGTAGTTGTTATCGTTATCAGTTGTTTTCTTTCGAATCACGATGACGTTGGCCATTTTCGTCTTTCAAAAAATAGTCACACGTTTCTTACTGAGGACCAACGATAAGAAGAACGAAGTTCGTGTACGACTATATCTTTTTTGGCCTCATTTTGCACTATCATCATGACTGTCTATGTGTGCATCTGATTCAAGAATAAAATGAGAGGGTAAATAGAAGTTGTTGTATGTCACGACGTGTGTGCTGTATTCGTTGAAGCCACTGCTTACTTCTTATCATTAGTTCGGTTACTAGTCATGATAGATTTGTTCATTATTCGTAGTCAACAAGTTACTGTCAACTTTTCTTCATTTCCGTACTAATGAGAGTAGTTAGTTGATACAACAATAAAAAAAACACTTTCCAAAACTAAGAACCATCATATCTTATGCTTATTGACTATCGTATGGTGCATTCGTAAGAAAAGCTATCTGAGAAAAAGTCATATAATTATTGGTTAAAATCTACGTCTCAATAATAAACAACCCACTCACTAGAGAGAAACATATGTTTATTACAGTGCATTCTTGTAACATATACCGCGACCCTCTTTATTCTTTTTCCTTTGATATTTTCATTTCTGTTGCTTTTTTTGACCTTGATTAACCTTGGTATTCTTTTTCATTTTGTCCTTATTTTTCATGTGCGTATATAAACGTTTGTTTTCTCAAAGAATAAATAGAGAGAGAAGAAAACACATCTTTAACTGTGTTCGTCACTCTTCGTGAGCGCGTACTCTAACACAGTTTTTTTAATCGTTCTTGACTGAGTAAAATATAAATAGACGGGGGTACATAATGAATGATTTCATTTATAGAGTGTCTTTCGAGGCTTTCTGAAAAGCTACTATCGCCAATCTGTACTCAAGTGAAGAGTGGCTCTTTAGGTAAGACAGTGGATATTGTCCGTGAATAAGTCATGAGAAAGTAAATATTCAGGCGTCATTAGTTACTCGAGAACCTTGTTGAAACACTGTGTATCTCTCAAGATCTCGGTTTTATTGTTACGATCCGATTCAGATTTGATCGGATTTTGTCGAAATCTCACAAAATCAACACGATTCAATCGGAATTATCCTGTCTGATAGGATCTAACTGAAGTAGTTGCACTCAGAATCTTGCATGAATTAATATTATCTAAGACATGAAACATAGAGAAGCGAGAATTGCATGTAGAGACGAATCGAATTTAAACGCATGCATTCAAGAGTTTTTCCACAAGAAATCAGTCGAAAACGATTAACAGAGCCATGCAGTACACGTGTATATGCGAGATATCGGACATATATCTGTTACAGTCTCAAATGTAAATCAACATCGACAAATAATATGACCCCATTGATGAATACATCATTCTCTTAAAAATATAATAGGATTTATTTATTTTTAAGATGTGGCTCAAATTTTGGAGACATGAATTCAATGCGATGTATGGTTATTTTCTGAGATTATGTACAATCAACCGAATCCTTATATTGAACAAATAATTCAAAGATTGACTACGATATGTTCGACACATTTGAGATCGGCAAATGTAGACTTTCAGCGATGATTGCACATGAAAAAATATCATTTTCTAAGAATGTTTGACAGCACGTCATGTTTTTTTTACAGAGTATTACTCAATATTTATATTTTCTGAAGATAGAGTTAGTTTTCTGATTTAATGTTGCTTTACATCACTATTTGATCACATTTTTGTTCTTGTCACTCGTCTTGTTTCTTAAACTATACCAAATATCCTGTCAATTCTCATGCTATCATGGATTTCCTAGCCCAAATATCATACTAATTTGAATTCTTGTGCAACAGTATTTCAACAAAAATCGTGCTCTTCTCAAAAATAGAAATACGTGATGTTTGGTTAGCACACGTTTTATTTTCTCTCATGTTCTCAAATGTCTCTTTATTATCCAATGCTTTATTTACTTGACTGAAAAGCGAGAAAAACATGTTTCTCGATGTGACTCAAATCCTTGCCAACTCATTTTTTATCAGTCGGCATTCGACGATGATAGCACCTATTTCAAATAACGCATCGCCTGAAAGAATCACTGATCGATCCAAAGCGAAAGATAGCAAATGTCTGAAAATATCGAAAATGATATTAGCTGCTTTGTTCTCAATCATATTTGATGCATCCACCATTGCTTTCACGTTACAACAAAACTTTGATGCGCGAGAGAATCACAAACAAGATCAACAACAGGCCGATGAACGAAGTATTCGAGCAACGTTTGAAAGTTATATTGATGATATTTCGTCACTTTTACTCAATCAAAAATTCAATCGAAGTAATCCCGAACATCGGCTACATATTCGAGTGAAAACCTTTATTGTCCTTCACCATGTCGATGTCAATCATCGATGAGACATCATTTTGTTTCTCTATGAAAGTCGACTACTTCGAAGTGATATGCCAACAAATGAACGACTCAATTTGGTTGGCACTAATCTTCAAGGAGTGCAATTTATTGGTTCGCCAGCTACACCAGTTCAACTCGATCATATCTTCTTACCTGGTGTCTATGTACTAAATGCTATTTTCTATTGGTACCAACTAGATCATGCCGTATTCGATAATGCTTCATTGTCTAATATTAAGACGATGAATTCAACTCTTTCAAACGTCAGCTTTCGACATATCTATGCTCCTGATGCTGTATTGGATGATCTAACTTTTGGTCGTAACAATTTTACAGGAGTTATACTTGTTCGCGTGAAACTTGCTGTTGGATTAGGCTGGAAAGAGAGAATTAATATGACAAACATTGATATACTTGATGCCTATGACCCAAATCAATATGTGCTAAGTTTCAATACTATCGAATTGCCAATAATAGATATTAGAAATTCGCGTAACGCAGATGAATCATTTTGGCACATCGATACTTCAGACCTAATCATGGACGGTGAAGCCGAAGAAGGGGTACGTTCATGATTCTTCATATTGCAATCAATGTTAGAATATACTAGTTTATTTATTTTTCATGATTTACTAGGTATTTTTCTTTTGAGGAGAACAATTCCACCTGAATCAATCTAGGTGGTAGTCTTATGTATGTTAGTTTTAAACACATCGGAATAGGTCTAATTGAAATTGACGACAGCAAAATGTTGTGAAATACCGTTTTTGTGTACAATATAAAATACTCAAGTTATTGTGATTATCTTCTAGTACCAATCTAATGGTAGTCCAACACTGTGGCAAAAAGAAAGCGAACTTTAATTAATAGAACTATATCAAATGGGCAACAATTCGACCATTTTCACACCAGAAGTGAATAATAGTAACTGCTAGTTTCTTGCTCGAGCACTAGGCAGCTCTTCACTTAACCAATTAATTAGCATCCAAATTTTTTCTGTATTGATCGACAGTGGACAAGCTGGATACAATATGTCTGCATATATCAAATGCGTAGGGAGAGAATCAACTACTGCATCTATCCATGTAGCTTTTCTCCGAAAAAATGATTTATTTATCGAATTACATTCAGGTAAACGACTCTTTCGTATCGATACAAGGACATGCTACTCTTGATTGATCATTTCTGATAATCTAGTGTTTTCAAATATGACAACACTGGATAGATCTAATAATCGAATTGGATTAATACCCAAAGGTAGTCGTCTCATCCGAGTCGAACTCTACGCATTGGTGGTTGATCCAACTTCATATTGTCTTCTTGATGATATTCATTTGAATATTTTCCATCATAAAAAATAGTATGGAAGTCTATCTCTGATTTTCATGAACTCATTTATTAAGAAAAATATCTTTGGTTATGCTTTTCAGATACCAATTTCGCCATGTCTCGTTGAAGAAAATACAACAAATAGAATCTGACTGAGATTATCCGATGAACTGTTGTGTTGTTTCTAAATATCGATAGATACCTATTTAGATACCTGTAACTTCATGATCACACTGTACTCGTATATTAGTCGAATTTGTCGCGATGCATAATTCATATCTTAACAAGAAGAAATGTGAAAATGAGGCTATATCCTCATATGATGGTGGGTGGTATGGATGTGTGTGGCTGTGCTCGAGGGTCTTCTGTTTGTTCTCGACCACACTTTTTGTAGACTTTCAAAGTTTTATGGTAAGAGATAAATCCTTCATCATCATGACTTTTGAATTTTTTTATTAATATTGTCATATAATGATGATGTGCATACGCTTCCATATTGTTTTTGATTGAATTGTGAATAAGTACTTCATAAAATTCTTTGTTTTTTATCGAAATTTCACACTGTCAATAACAGCTTACCGATTCGACCTGACCTTGTTGACGTTGGAAACTCTTGATAAATATAACCAGCAAATTGTTGGAGATCCTTATCGTCGTCACTGATTAAAGAAATATATATTTGTTTGATTTGATCCATTCGAAATATAGTATACATCATGAATAAAATCTGTTTTTTCTATTTCGGAGTAATAATTTTCGTTGTCTAACAAAGTTGAGCAAGTATAAGTGAATGTAGTAGGATTGACAGTTATTTGAAAAAGAATGCTAGTTAGTTCTAGACTTTCTCTAGCGATCTTAGAATAAACAGGAGCTAATTTTCACTCGATGATCATCGATAAAAACCTGTTGAAGGAAAACAGACCATCTTGCATCATGTGCAAATGAACCAAGTCTGCGTATAAAAATTCTTGAACTCAGTACAGGGCGTAAGCGTAGATGAAATTAATATCTATCACAGATAGGATCGGTTCGGTTTGAAACTTTTGTGGTTCGATTTCAAAACACCACGAAGTGATTCCATCACTGGTATCCATGCCGACACCTACATCCTTCCCCAAAATATGATAGAAAGAAAGACATAGGTAAAGCACAGAGTAAGAACAAAGAATATAGATTGCCAGTTTGTCGTAACCAGTGAAAAAAAAAACAACTATGTTTATCTTAGAATAAGCATGAGACAAAAATGCCACCAGACATTAACAAGAACTTACCTTCACATTTTTGAAAAAATGATATAGTATAATATAACAAATGTTGGTTAAAAATATAATAGATAAGATATCTAAGAAAGCGAAAAAAAGTAGAAAGGACAAAGAAAAAGCAGAAAACCCTTCGAAAAGCAGAATTTTTCTACTAAAATTAGAAGAGGTGACAACACTGATTATATCGATTATACTTGTTCATTCGACCTTCTAATGCTCTTTTTCATGTGTTTGTTTGCTTCATTGCGGATGTCGGTGTGGGTTTCGATGAAGAGTACGCCAAC